GGTTCCATGATCCCCGGAATGTTGACATCATCAAACGATTTGAGACCACGCCAAAGGATTGTCATGATTACTGCGCTGATTTAACTCTTTTTGGGTTCCAGAGTATACATTTTCAACAAGATTAAAGCCATAATATCCATTGGAAATGGATTGAACAGCCATGTAGCTCCATATATTATTTAACAGACCATCCTTTGTGCAGAAAATCTATTCCTAGTGTACAAATTGAAACACTTTATATCTCACTCTAAGAAACAGATTTGTTTAAATGTAAATAGTAGATAGTAGAGGCGAATACGAGTCCCACTGGGAGAGAGCTGGCGGAGCACAGGCCTGCCATACCACTGCTAAGACACACTGGAAAGAGAAAGCTTTCTGGAATTCGAAACACGAATGTACCTTGAATGTACATGAGCACATTAATACTCTTTTAAATGGTTTACAAATTTTTCTCTGCAAGCTCTTCTTTTTTATTCCGTATTTGCATCCCGAGGAAACGCCTCTGGTGCCACTTTTTGTTTATTAATGCAATGATTCATTGTATTTAGAATAGATTCAATCTGTTTCTTGCCTAGGTTTCCATTCTGGCAGCTCCACTTCTTCCATCGCCTAACATTTTGTTGGACTTTTCGGTCCTTGCTTCTTTTTAATTGAATTTTGGTTGAAAATTCCACCAAAAATTCGATCACAAAATGTCAACTGTCAAATGGTGCGAGAGGGTGCCGCTTTCCACTCTCTGTTACCCCTTTGCGGCCATGGCCATAGCCCCGCCCCACTCTAAGCTCTGCCACATCCACCACACAGCGCTGCTGCTGCCGCTGCTGCTGCATCCACAGTAAGTTTGCTTGTTTGCTTTGATAATCCGCACACAGCTTAGAACGCGACGGGACGCGACGCGATGCGATGCTACGCGATGCGAAGCGATGCGATGTGATACGATGGTGGAGCTGCTCGGGATGCTGATGTTCGACCAACTCAATTCCCACACCCCGGCGGATTGCAGGGTGCCCGGGATGGGCTGAGTGACAGAGGGGCAGGGAGTGGGCGAGTAACTTTGTTTCACCTGCAAATATTTGCTTACAAGTAAAGTAAGATTCGCTTCCATTAGTTACCAGCAGGGTCCTGGCTCTCCCTCCGCCCTGCCGCCCTGTCTCGCTGGGCCTCCCCGGCTGCAAAATGAAATTTTGGCCAATTTTCTGCGCATTAGCCGCTGGAGGAGGCCGCCGCTGCCGCCAGTGGCCGCGAGTGCAGAAGCGTAACAATATTTGTTGTCACTTTTTTATTTAATACACTTTTTGGGGCAGCAGCAGCAGCAACGAGAACCGCGATGGCTGTGGCTGTGGGTATGGGTATGGGGTGCCAGGGCGACGCACAGAAAGTGCGCAAGCAAACAAACCAAAGACATTGGCAGACGGGGGTGTCGGCATAGGATGAGAGGACACCGAGAGAAATGATGTCAGGGGGAACTTGATTCAAAGCTATATCCAAAAAACCAAACATGGAAATTTCAGGTGATTCAGGGGAGACCTAAAAGGTTTCCAAGAGATACGTGCCATGCGGCAACGCTCCTCGGTTGGTTCCACGTTTCTGCCTGGCAAAGGAAGCATACAACAAATTATATGCTGAAGATATGTTACTGTTCCTTAAGTGGTTCGCTGCTACGAAAGAGGACTTCCCACAGTTGCAGTTGTAAGTGAAGGAGCGCCAAATAAATAATTTAAATTAATTAAAATTTATTTTTATTTTTATAAATTATTTCATTAAATTTAAATTTAATTTACAATTCAGTAATTTTGTAAACCTTTTTTTTTCTCTCAGTGTAGTGCGCTTAGAAGGTGAGGTGGGGTGAGGGTGAGGGTGCCGGCGCTTGGCAAAACGAAATCATTTTCAGGTGTAAAACGCTTCAAGTCATTTACGAGACTGGTCAAAGGACCCTGCCATCTGGTCCCCCGCAGCAGCACCCGCCCTCCGACGTACAGCAGCAGCAGCAGAAGCAGCAGTAGCGGCATCACCCAAGGCTGAAGTGGCATTCGATAAATGAAATGGCAAGCGGCAAATTTTCATTTTATTCGAGTTTATTTGGTTGGGGCAAACAAACGTTGGGCCCAGACAGCAAGCGGCCCCAATCATTGTCACCTCCCATCTGTGGCACCCCACCACCGCCCACGCCCGCGCCCGCGCCCGCACCCACAGCACCCACCAAAAGTACTCAAACCAACTCCAACCTGCCATGTCCGTATCTGTATCTCATTTCTTTCGAGCCCCCATCTGGATTTCCCTTAAATTTACGCGTTCAACATAAATTTATGCTGTTGCACCTGCTGCCCCAACCCATGCCCCATGCCTCATGCCCCATGGCCCATGGCCCATGCGGATGATGACCCCTGAGGCGGTTCTGAGGGGCAGCTAAAGTGAATTATGTGGCCATGCACAAAGTTCCAACAAAACACCAGAATAAATCGAAAAACTTTTCATTTCTATTAAATAATTTATTTTCGATTTCATTTTTAGCATTTTTGCTCTCAGCTTTTTTTTTTTGTGTGTTTGGCTTTTATCTGTTTTTAAATTTATTAAACAAAATGCACAAAATCCAACGAGTACGAGTATATACAGGACACAGGACACAGGATATATGGAGTCGGTGACAGCATCTAGATTTGGTTATTGGACTCACTGCTGTCCGAAATAGGGGAATAAAATGAACATAAATGAATGCTACGCAGAGAGCAGTAGCTTCCCCTGGCATACCTCTGGATTAGAAGCGATTAACAGCGATTATCCTGTTACTGATGGAGTCCTAGGTACACCTCCCATTGCTCCGATTGACATTGGAACTCGGAGGCCCGCATCAATCACGCCCGCTTCTGCACATAACTCATTCACATTCCATCAGCGTCTTGTTCAGTGCCCTCAGCACCCGCACCCGCACCAGCACCCCACCCACATCCGAGACGAAAAGGTACGGAGCGTGGGGCACTCATGAATGCCAGACCGTGCATGACAGCGTGCTCCACTCGTAAATTCCGAATCGAGACGGACTCTGCTGGATCATAAATCCGACAATCAAAATTATGCTCTGTGAATCTCATCTCTTGATTACCCCTTCAGCGGGTCAGATCGCATTGATTTTATCCAAAGTCTGCTGCAGAGAAACTTTTTACAACACACCAAACATAAAGTGGGAACTGTTTGCTCGCGGAGATATTCAAATAAAACTGTGAAAAAGGTTCAAAATATGTGGCTTAAAGTCTGAGAACGATTTTTAGTCGAAGGTGTTCATGGGTTTCGTCGAATCCTTCTTCTGAACACCTGATTGGACTGCTTCTGCACTGCTTTGTTATGTTTTTCCACTGCTTTGATTCATCGTCTATCGCCGTGACATTCCGTAGCGGCCGTTGCAGTTATTGTTGCCACTGGGGGGTGGGGGTCAGAGCGGCACACACACATACCAACAAACGCACCTGACAGATGATTCGGTTACGGGTATGGTTTCGGTTTCGGTTACGGTTACGGCTCCGGCTCCAAACACAGGAGTCTGGAGTCGCAATCTGAGATTGAACACAAAAGGCCTGTAATTGAGTGGAGCAGCAGCAGCAGCAGCAGCAGCAGCAGTGCCTCAAATTTGCTACTGGCAACGCCCCACCAAAAACAACGTGGAGGTAGGTTGTCAAGCGACAACAGTGGGGCCTCGTGATGAAACAATCGTCCAGCATAATCGGCGGCGCGTCAATTGAAAATGAGAATTGGAATTTCGTGCAAATATTTCCAATCCAATTTCCAATTTTACAACACACGAAACCCCCTGCAGGCCCGAACCTCTCCAGGGGCCTCGGGGGCCCATCCCTGGACCGTGCACCATGCAGCACTGTGGGCCCTGCAGCAATGCTCCAATTCGTCATAATTAATGTGCCTGATTTGCAGGGGCACATGACCTGCCTGCCTGCATGGTGTCCTGCCGGGAGCCAGCATTTCATGGATGGGAGATTGCGCATCAATTTTATTTCGATTTGTTTCTGATTGCGGACCTTCGCTTTATTCTAATTCGCAATAAACTGGGAATTGTTTGCTCTGTGCCACTCACTACTCCCTACAGCAGCCCCCTGCGTCGCGTCGCTCCCCGCTGCCAGCATTCGGGGGAAATGCAATTTCAATGGCTGCCCTGCTCGCCCACTGCTAATCACTATCCACTTCAATCACTCACAAAGAATGTGCCTACCCTGTACCCGCACTCGCAGCACCAACGGGCAGATTTAATTCAACGAACCAGAGAGATACGAGTTGGAGTTTTCGGTTCGAAAATCCATATAACTCGGCTATAGTCTGCCCTTACAACTTAATACCTGCAAAATATTGCGGCCGCTGTCGGTTTTCAAACGTTTTAAGACCCAAATTCTGTGCAAATATTTCACTTAGTTAAAATAAAAAAAACCCTCCATTAATTACGAAAATAATTCAAATTGATTGCACTGGAAATGTCTGCTCCCTATAGAGGTATCAGCCAGTCGTAAGCCTGGCCAAATTGTGGCCTCCTGTTTCCAGTTTCGTTGTTTTTATTTTTTATATATTTTTTTTTTGTTTTTTATCTTTCAGTTTCAATTAAGTAGACAGAAATCAGTGCAGTTCGAAATTAGTTAGCGATAAGGATGCAGTTTTTCCACATTTTCCATAACATTAGCGCACCAGCACACATGACTGTGGGGCCTGCAGGGAGACGATAATCGCTTTGTATGTGTACTCGTAATGGGAGTAGAAGCCAACAAAAATAATGCATCATTTGCGAATAAACATTCTACACAGATTCTAGCACAGCAGAAGGTGCCGCACCAATCTAAGGGTTTCTTTTGCCGTAGAAGTTCCTAAAGTTAGGATGGGATTAGAGGTTTGGTAGACAAACTACATCCACACCTTGAGGAATAAATCAACTTTGGGATTGAATAAGGAGTCCTATATTCGACTCCATGGAAGTCCCTGCTGCAAAGAAAACACACGACAGAATGAAGTAGCTACTAAGGACTATGTATCCTTCTATTTTATACGGACACTTCCGCTGCTAATCTGTGCAAGAACTATACAGGAAACCCCGAACTAGGCGTCCGTGTCTTCCTTCTCCAGAGTGAAGATATCCCCGTCCGCCGTGGATGCCTTGCCGAGGGGCAGCAGTCGCAGTGCACGATCTGGAGGTGAGGTCGAGGTTGTGGACGTGGACGAGGACGAGTTCAGCCCATGGCTGGTACTTGGGCACTCGCCAGTTGCCTCCGGGCTGGGCAGGGCTGTCTCGGAGCGAGTTGCCTTTGACAGCACTGATTCCTTTTCCTTCTCCTTGTCCTTCTCCTGCTTAAGACTGGCGAACAGCTCCATTACACTGGGCCCCGTGGAAGTTCCCCTTTGAGCGCCGCCACCGGCCTGATCCTGTTTGAGCTTTTGCAGGGTAAAGCAGAGCTCCTGGAAGCCATGGACCGTGTGATAGTTGCTCTGCTGATGCTCCCTGAGGGGCACGCGGTCCATGCCGGGGGACCAGGTGTGCTGGTAGTGTGGCGCCTCCAAATCGATATCTTCACCGAACTCCATCTGGCTCTGGCTGCGCTCGTCCCACCGATTGATGGCGTCCTGGAGGGCCGGCTCCTGATGGGCGGCCTTGCGGGCGGTGCGGATGTCGTGGCGCCAGAACTGCTGGTTCCGCTGCACCGTCGGCGTCACCTCCTTGATGAGCAGCACGATCACGCCCGTCACCCATATGCAGATGACATTCACGAAGGCCAGGGCCATGCTGACCAGAGCGCAGACCAGCAGCTCGGTCTCCAGATCGTTGGAGTACTCGTGGTGCTTGCTCAGGCTCTGGATGAGCTCGTGCTCGCGGTTGAGGACTCGAGTGCCGAAGGCCAGGGCCCACAGCAGGCCCGCGTTCACCGCCGGCGGCAGCAGCGAGGCCGAGATGGCGACGCCCGCCAGGGAGCCCGTGTTGCCGCCCAGGACGGCGATGGCGCCCGCTGCGCCCGACACGAGGGCCGTCATGATGCCAATGATCAGGGCATGGATGGTGCAGCGCGAGACGATCTCCTCGGTGAGGCCGGAGGCGATGGCGAAGAAGGGGCCCAAGCGGAGCACGAGCACGCCGAAGATGAAGCCAATGCCCGCCGAGAGGGCGATGCCGATCAGCTCGTTCTTGAAGCCCAGCCACCAGAGGCCCCGGTCCCCGATCACCGACCCAAACGTGCCGGCAATGATCGGCCCCATCAGCGGCGAGATGAGCATGCTGCTGGACAGCAGCAGGTAGCTGTTCCCCACCAGACCCACGCAGCAGATCAGTGCGGCGGCCACCAGCAGCACCACAAAGTCCAGCGTGAAGGCGGCATCGTTGCGCACCTGGCGCACCACCTGATTGACGCTCAGGCGACACCTCACCGAGTCCATGAACGTTTGCCAGCCATGTCCACGGCCGTGGCTGGTCTGCTCCTCCTGCTCCGAGGCCCGGATCAGCGTGTCCACGCTGGCCCCCAGGGGGCCCCCCTGGCATCCGCTCTCCTTGAGGCTGCTCAGCAGTTTGTCATGCCGCTTGGTCTGCAGCAGCAGCTTCTTCTCCATCAGCCGAAGGCGGTCCAGTGCCGACTCCAGGCTTTGTCCGGTGCGACTCCTTCTGTTCCGGTGCCTGCTGCCCTGCGTCCCCAATGTGGGTATCTTTAGCTTTGGTCCCGGGTTGCCCGATCTGCACTTGGAGCGCCGCTCCTCCTCCTCCTCCTCCTCCTGCTTCACCTTGGCACTCTGTGGCATTGTGTTGCTGTCTCTGTGTGTGTGTGTGTGTTTTTTATTTGAGTGTGTTTCCAGTGTGTGACGTCTGGCAAATGTAATCTACAAAGGTGTCTGTCTACAAAGGCAGAAGGCTGTCAATGGTAAAACAATCCCTCCGCTAGAAAGGACTGAAACGTAAATCTTTTTAGTATTAATTTCAGTTTTTATTGGTTTGTTTTTCTATCAATCTCTACCGACAATGTACCGGCATCCCTGTGGGCCCCTGCTTGCGGGGTTTGCCCAGTTTTCAATTAGAGACAACAGCAGAAAATTATAGGATCTCTATGGCTGTGCAGCCATTACTTATGGTGTAATTCTAAATTAAATCTGTTGGATTGCGGCTCTTATTTTGGCTTATTAATACACGCATTTCCTTGGGCGAACAATGGACAAAATCCGCTGGAAAATTGAGTAAATGTTAATGGAAAGCAGTCCATGAAAACGCTTTGGATTAGTAGCAATAGCAGAGAAGGAGCATGGGGAGCAGGTCACTCCATACCCTGCTTGCTGCTCAGTCAAACGTTTGCCTCTGCCTTTCCATTGTTGTATTAATTTGTTTTGTTACAAGCGAAACTATAAAATTGTTGTGGGTGGGGCGGGGGCGGTGGCTTTAGGCAGTGACGCTTTTCCCCATTTATCATCAAAAAACTTTCATAACTTTTGTCTCAGTCTCGGGACTTCCCAAGAAGCCGCCATTCCGTCAGTCACTCCATCTGTCCAACCAGTCAGTCAGTCAGCCAGTCAGTCAGTCAGTGAGGCATTCGCTCTTTCAAGCATCTGGCACCTGCAGCTGGATGTGGATGGGATGGGATGGATCCGCTCAATGCCTTCGCCAGCGATAGATATTTGCATACATTTCTCCAACTTTTATTCTCACTCATTCACAGAAACAACTCAGCCATGGATCTCCGTAAAATATAGATAAAAACTTCATCTTCTTCTTCTTTATTTCTCCAGTATTTTCCCTCTTAATGTCTGCTGCTGCTGCAAAGGCAGGGAAGAGCAGCGAAAGTGGCAGTGGAAGTGGAAGGTGGGGGAGGCTGTAGGGCCACAACTTTCGCTGCAGTTGTGGTGGATCATGGTGAAGATGCAGGGGGACGGGGGGACGTGGAACAGGGGGCTCTCTTTTGTGAGTGAATTTAATTAAATTTATGAAAAATTTACATATTTATTGGTTTAAATGGCCAACAATTTTTCCGTTGCCCATACGCACAAAATACAGTGCGTGACAAAAGTATAACAACTGACAAGGTGTTGCATTATTTTTTTTTTTTTGTTTATTTTTTAAAGCCATAAAAAAACATTTGAGAACTTTTTTTGTTTTCCATATTTTTAGTTTCAGCCATATAGCCATGCACCGCACTGTCTGCATGAATATTCATAAAAAAACAACAAAACAAAAAGTAAAAATCAAATCAGTATCTCGTGTGTGTGTGTGCGTGCGTGTGTGCCCCACTTGGAGGGGAAATAGTTTTTTGGAAATGCAAATAATTCTACAGGAAGGCGGGAAAGGGAGCGAAAGGGCCCAGGGCGGAGTTGGGATACTCATTTGCTATTCACAAATACAGAAACAAAAGACGTGGGGGGTGGGGGAAAGGGGGAACCCAAAAACTTGTCCACACATACGACAGGCAGAGAGAACTTGATTGCCTGACTCGAGAGGAGCATCTCTCTGCCCCTCTCCCCAGCTGGCACTCTCCAAATCCTCTGAAATGCTTTCACTTCCAGAGCCAAAGAAGAGTCTCCGTGCTTTAATATATGTAGTAAGTAAAGCACATGTATTAAGATTAAGCCCCCTCGCTTAGCCGATTGCTGTTCTGCTTCAAATTTTGTTGGCATGATTCCGCTTGAAACAAAAAACAAAACAAAAAAAGGGACAAAGGCAGCAACAGACAGAACGGACTTATCTCTGTATACCCATACCTGGATTTGAAAAGTCCCATTGTTTAAGAATTAAATATAAAATATATTAATATATTTATGTGTCGCTGCACGCACAAACAAAAGGCAAATTCAAATCGAATGAAATCCGGATAAAGTCACGCCAACATAAACATAAACAGAAACAGAAACCCTAAATGAATTCAAGTTCTATTGACATTTGAAAACTAAAAATCGAAAGCTCGCACAGAGCCAGCAGCCAGCAGCCAGCCAGGAGATACAATAAATGCGAGTAAATGCGAATATTTGAATGGGAATATACGTACATATACTGGTTGTTGACCAGTTTTTGCTGACTGCCCTGATATACAGATGTACATATGTATGCCAGTCACATCAGCTGATTGACATCGCTTGGATTCGGATTCCATCTGTCCATTGCCAGGTGTGTGTGTTTCCAAGCGACGCTGTCCTGTCAGCGATTGCTTCTGCATCAACATCCAACAGAAAATCAGGCAGATCTGATCTCTGCCTATAGAAAGGGTTCTGCATCCAAAGTGGTGCTGGACTTCTATTCTGTGTTACACCACCCAAATACCACTGTAATCCCATAGCTATGAACCTGATCTGGTCTGTTAATCGATTCCCTCTCCAGTCTGGGGGCTTTCAACATTTTTAATGAATTTTTCTTCTGAATTCTAATTTGAAATTTAATTATTTGATGTCCATTCCTGGGACAAGTTCTATACACGAAACGTTAACGTTTTAGGCCAACTGGTTTGCTTGTGTGCGTTGCCATAGGCACTCACTAGTGGGTTCACTCAGTCACGACACGAAGCCAATAAAGTTCTCAACGATTTTCCACGGTACTCCAAGCTACTCCAGCCTACAGCCTGCTAGTTGATGATGCAATCTACGTTGTGGGTGTCTCTCTTGTGTCTGCAGCTGATAACTGTATTATTCAATTAACACTTGATTGATATGCAAACACTGTAAGTCGGCATATGGCACCTGAAATACGGTAAGAACTTGTTCCAATCAGCGGAAGCCAATCTGCTATCCAAGGCAGATGGTGCGATTGGCTGTCATGCATATGGATGGGCATTGGCATGGGCAAGCCAGCACAATGGATCGCTGAAGCCCCTCATTGAAATGCGCACGCATGCGCCCAGCCAGCCCCGACTCTGGCTCAAACCGGCTGCAGACTGAAACGCGATCGAATCAATGTATTGCCCAGATAGAGACACAAATCCCAGAGCACAAAGCCCCAGAGCACAGAGCACAGACCCCAGGCCCCAGACCAAATACCAGTTCCAATGAAAGTGAATTGAGTTTTGTTTGCTGAGCTCCAACTCGAACTCGAACAATCCATCGAATGCTCTCGCACCCCACACGCCACGCCGATCGGAGCTGAGGGTTTTGGCTTGGAATTTCAACAGAAACCTTAAGCTTTTTGATTATTGAGTGTTTTCTGGGGTAGTTTCTGGATCCAAGTGAATGTTTGGAAACCAGAAAAAAGCTCCTCAATCCGGCCATGAAGACGAGTCTCTGAAATTCAATTAAATTCATTCTTTTAGCTCAATTTTAAGCCATTTATTTCTCTGTCTTGTAGCTATTTTTCACACACATTACAGATGCTTAGCTCTTTCCAGCTGTATTCCCATGGAGCATCTCTCGCTCTTCCTTCTCCCGCTTAAAGCCACTCATCCACTGAGTGCTCTGGGCTCTAAGTTGTCCAAGTGGCTGGCCACTCAAGTGTTGGCTTCTTGCAATTTGTTGGCCCAAGTCTTCGATCAGTTGGCGGTTTGCATTTGCTCGCGGCAGACGTCTCTCTCTCTCTGTCCCTCCGTCGTTCTGTCGCCCTCTCTCTCTCTGTTTCGCACGTATCGAGATCGCTGCTGTATCGATACCACGTTGCAAAAATCGCCCCAAGAACGAATCGAATCGTATCGTATCGTATCGAAACGAAACGGCAGAGAGTGGTGTGTGGAAGCTTCAAGATGCAATTGCAGCATTGTCTAGTCGCTGCAACGCTGCTAATTGTGGCTAGTGTGAATGGTAAGTGTCCTGGGCAGCAGCAGGAGTCGCTGTTGCACCTGCTCCCCTCCCCGCCATCACCTGGCTAACGTTTCCGCATTCGTTACATATACCCCATATGTACCCCCCTATATCATTATTTTTTTTTTTGTGTTTTGTGTTAATTTTTGTTACTGTGTGTTCGTTTGTGTTTCGTGTTTCGAGTGCGAAAGAAAGAAAGCCAAAAGAAATGTGTTGAGCTCCCCCGACCCCCCCCACGCCGTTGAGTCTGTTTCTGTGCAGAGAGTGGTGTGCCCGGGGGCGCTTGCTTCCTGTACGACATCGAATTAGGTAACATGCGAGATGATGGCATTTCACGACTGTTTAACTGGTTTGCCCCCCCTCTCACCCGACCATCCGCCCATCCGCTATGCAAGGTCAGCACTGTCCTGGCCAACTCGTAACTGGTTGGGACTGGAACTGGGACTGGACTCCTCTCATCGCCAGCCTCCAGCGCCAGGCCATATCACTCTTCCTTTTACGTAATCGAAGCGGCGGCGTCGTTGGCAACTGCCGGACTGACCTCCAACTTGATTAGCGGCAGCTTTTGCAGATAGTTGCTCATACTAATTAACGATTCAGCCAGAGGCAGCAGCAGCGGCACACATTTACATACCTCACGGATACACACGGATATCGGAAATATCTGCTAGATTCATGAACTTCATGAATATGCAAATCTGTCGGCGGTCTCTAGTCGGTACACACCAACACACACACACACACACACACACATAGATTTTCATGGTCAACTTTTGCTTTCGTTTATTTGCTTATTCGTCTACTCTTATTTCGTTCAATAGATCGAAACCTCCCCGTAATTAATCCATAGCCGTAATGCCTATGTTCAATATACATGCATATGTATGTGTGTATGTATGTATGTACGTATGTATATATATGTTAAATTTTCTTCTTTCGATTTCACTTTCTTTTGTGCCGCCTGAACGGGGCTGCCTGGCTTACAAAACTTGTTTCGAGCGGCGCTTATTGCCTGAATTATGTAAACGTTAAACGTATAAAGCCGAACAAAAAAATATGTAAAATGTAAAATTGTAAATGGCTGCTGACACCGTAACAGACAGCGGACACCGCTGCCAGGCCAGGCCAGGCCAGACGGGAATGCCAATCTATGTATAACAGAAGCAGCACAGCAGACGCAAAGAGGCAATGAATGGAGAGCGGGCCAGGCGGCAGGCGACAGGCGGCAGGCGGCAGCATCCGCCACCAGAGAGCTTTATTTATGCAACTTTTGATTGTGACATTGATTTTGCCTTTTGGTTTTCATTTCAATATTATTTTGCCATCGAATCGCATCGCATCGCATCTCCTCAACCGAAAACACAGCATCGAAAGCATTGCATAATTGCTTTTTATACCCTACAATCAAGAAGGGGCATATTTAATTCGTGGACATGCATGAGCAGAGCAGCCAGAAGGTAGCTCTCAACTTTAAATACGCTTTACAGTAATTAATATTAATATTTATTCAACATTTGTATCCCTGATTGGCTTCTCTATCGCCTACCAAATGCTGTCTATAACAATTTAAAACTTCTTTAGGCTCTTCTCTGCCTTGAATACTCCGTCTTTTTGTATTTGAGACTTGGGAAGGCCTCTTAATCGAGCATATCCCTGAGGTAGTCGATGATATAGTTATATATGTTTCTCTTGAAATCAATAAACAGCCCATTATAATCACAGTGAAGCTCCACTTTGACAAGCGGATCTCTGGGATCCTTGCACGGCACCAGATCCATGGTGTAGGTCAATTTTAGGGCGGCCAGCAGGGCCACGGCCTGGTCCTTTTTGGTCTTAAAGTCTTTGGAGTTGATGACCTTAAAGGCAGCCACTTTCAGCTCTGTGGGAAAGTTCTTAAAATAATTATGATCGCTCATCTTGATCTTCATAAAATTTGAGCTGGGCCCGCAGCCGGGCTTGGTGTACCTATGACGCGGCTCATAATTGTGAGAACTTCCGTTAGTTTTCTCACTATTACACTCGAAGGAAGGTGTCCTCTCAACAGGATCGTCATCCGGATAAGGTAGTTCAATTAGACACCCAGCACTTTCCAACGTTAGCGCTGGCAACTTCTGTGGGATGGTTTTGAAGATGGGTTTTGGGATGTGTTTTGCGATGGGTTTTGGGTTGGGTTTTGGGTTGGGTTTTGCGATGGGTTTTGGGTTGGGTTTTGGTATGGGTTTCGGGATAGAAAATTCGGGATCGCTTGTGATATTGTTCGCTACGAGGAGCAGCAGTTCCCGCAGCTTCTTCCGCTGCTTAATGGTCAGCAAATGAATCTCCCCGAACAATGGGCCTCTGCTTGTCGTGGGCATCATTGCGGAGGCATCGGCTTGCTCCAGGATAGCTCTGATCACCGGAATCTTGAGTATCTTCTTCCACATACGCAGCGCCGCCACTTGCCGGGCAATGTTCTTCGATGAGCCTGCAAATAAACCAAATGAAAGAAGTCAAAAAAGTGGCAACAGCTGTGTGTGTGGGTTTGTGTGTGTTACGTTACCCTCGCCAGTGGCATGCACATCCTTGAGCTTTAGTTGACAGAGAAATCCATCACTCTTTGGCATCACATCGTACTGTGGCGTCGGCCAATTGGTTTTCACACAGAATTCATTCAGAAATGATATCCCAAACTTTTGCAAATTCATGGCGGCTTTCGGAACTCAAATTGTTGAATTTTACGTACTGATTAATAGATGATTGTAGTTTGGCGTGTCCAAAGTATTGCATTTTAATTAGTCAGCAAAGTCGCATAAAATCCAATCCGTATTTGTAGGGTCATAGAAATTTAATGGAAATAAAAAAAGCATCGATAGTGACGATATATCAGGATTTAAGATTTTTTTAAAATATTATAAAGCAAATTTAATATCCTAGATATTTTCTTGCACATGCTAATCATGCTGCTGGCCACGGATGATGACCAACATTGACTGAGAGGAGATTTAAGACTGCAAATCTGTGTTAAAAACACTGAAGTTTGTGGCAGTTTGTGACTGCTTTTATTAAATCCAACCAAAGTTTTAGGTAACTATTGGGTTGGGCCCCGCGGGTGTTTTTAAGCGTTTTAGGTGGGGCTGCTCTGTTGCTTGACGCTTTGACTGCTTTGGAGCTGAGCTGCCGGCCGCATCTTTGGGCTTACGGCTAGAACGTATACTTGCACCTGCGTTTTGCTGAGCGTCCATAAACGAATTCCAGAGTACATGCCTGAAACTATCCAATTCGAGTGTTTGGCCTAAACGGACACCCAAACTGGTAGTGGAGCCGCCTGTGGATATTTCCAAACTTTCATTGGTTTTTTTTTTATAAAAAACCATTTTTTATATTATTGTACCTTAAAAGAAAAAATTTTCAACTTTTCAGTGTTAGATATTAGAGATCCATAAACATAACCAACCTATTAAATTGGCTTCTTGGAGTCTAAAATTTAAAAAACGAGAAGGAACGTGTGAGTCGCTTCTATGGACGCGACTCCACTTTTATACCCGTTCTCAGTTTGTGAGCTTATGATTTATGTTTGATTGAATTTTAAAATATAAATAAACGTTTCCTTCTCTGCATTGCACACATCCACTTTTACCAAAAATACAATATACACCTTTACTCTTCGAGTACGGGTATAAAAATATCAGCAATGGCTCGATGTTTTTGCAGCTTTCTCTAAGCAAAGGAATTTCAATTGTTACTGGAAATACTAATACAGGACACTGTCTGGCAATTTGAGGAACCCAAGGGCCATCATAACCCTGCAGCAACTTATCTGCATCTGCCTCCAATAAATCCCCCAGGGACGACCTACTTGCCCTCGCCAAAAAACATCCAGAGAACTAAGGAATATGTGTGGCCCCATAGAACGGATTGTAGGAAGAAGTTCTCATGTCTGCTAGAAATTTCGTAGGCTTTGAAAATCTTTTATTCAATTGAGAGACCAGAACAATTATGAGCATTTTCGCAATAGATTCGTGGCCTCCATCAGTCATTCGTGTGGCTTAAGCCAGTGTTGATTAATGCTCTACATAGCCTGCTGCGACACAGCCCAAGGCCAAATCTCATTATCCCCAAAAGGAAAAGCCAATTAAGAGAAAGGAGACGAATTCATCGCATCGAATCGCATCTCATCTCATTTCAAAAGAGCGACAAACACACTCAGAGCAGAGGCTCTCCAACTCACTGTGTCCCGCTGTTTTCTGTACAGAGAAAAGAAAAGATTATCCTCCCTCCGGCAGGCCAAGCCAAAAGAAATCAACATAATTTAAAAATACATTAAAACCGAATTGCAAAGAACAGAAGGATGGATACGTATACACCACTTGCGGTATAGGTGGGGCGGGTGGGCGGTACAACAATGGTGTCTGTCTGTCTGTCTGGCAGGCTGGCACTGGCACATGAGCCATTTAAACGCAAATTTGTTGACAAAGGCAAGTGGCTTTGGCCATTACACACTCGAAAAGTGAATGCCGAGGTTTTGCTACCCCCTCCCAACCACTCTCTGTCACTCTCTGTCCCCCATGCTGTCTCTCTTTGGGGCTAACCAAATCGGCATTATTTACAATTTAAGTGTTGTAAATGCAGAAAAGCAGAAAAGCAGCAACAGAAACACTCGCAGAGAGGCAAAAAGAGAAACAAAGAAAAGGCAACGACTATGGGAATACCTCCTCTGGTCTGAGTCAGGGGGAATTCTAAGTATTCAAGCATTCCCTCTGTTGATTAATGATTACCTTTCACACTAATATATCTCTAGAATTTCACTTCAACACTACTAATAATTTAAACCGCAATAATCTCTAGACACTCAACTACGGTTATTAATTCATTCATGAACTACGATAAGAGACCGCGGGAGACCGACGTAATATAGCAACTGATTCGAACTTATCTCCAAGCAACAGAAGCCGACAAAATTATTATGTACATACAGAGAGAGAAAGAGAGAGAGAGAGGCCAATGTACTGCAATTTATATAAAAAGTCACTCAAACATTCAGAGCTCTCCAGTTTTTGGTTTCTGATATTTTCCTGCTGAGTGGAGAGAAGAGAAGTGAAAAGATTTCTCAGTGCACTTGACTCGCATTGAAAGATTGAGCGGAAATTGGAGCCTACTTCGTAAGATTCTCAATCGGTCAGCGAGTGAAATGTGAGTGAAAATTGTGCTGATATGGCAAAGAGGGGCGCGATCAGCGGACGAGACCCTTCACATTTATGGGGGCTATGTTTATTGGGCTGTCGATGTTTATTATTGTTGTGTTATTAAAGAGAGCGGCCAAGCAGCCGAGCAGCCAGCGGCACTGTGCGTCATACGACTATTGGAATATTGTGGCTACAGTTTCCACGTTTCCAATGCCCTAGCCAAAGAATGAGTCATGCACAAATCTATGATTTCCTTTAAAAATACTTTCTGGATGTTTGTATTTTGGGTTTTGCCTGCCCTGCCCTGCCCTGCCCTGCCCTGCCCTGCCCTGCGCTGCCTGTTGCATGTGCTTCAAGAGTGACAATATGCCCGCCTGTTCTCTGCGGCTAATAGGTATTAAAAAATAGCAATGTTGCTAAAGGAAGCGACAAAAACATTTAAGCAGCTTAACACACACACACTCTCACACAGAGAGGCAGAGTGACAGAAAGAGAGAGAGAGAGAGAGACACATGGACAGGCGTGAAAAATGAGGCGCAAAGCAGCCACAGAAATGCGTGAAAAATTACTTGAAAATGCCACAACGGATAAACAGAAAAAACAGGAAAAAAAAACAACAGCCCAAAACCGTTTAACCAAAAACAAATACACTTGCAACAAAAGCAGAAAGAGACAGAGGGAGACTGTGTGCGAAAGAGATGGCAAGCGAAAGAGAAAGAAAATGTGACAGAGAGAGAATGAATATTGTATAGACAATGGCCAGACAGGGACAACCGCTGAATGGGAAATGTTTTAAGTGAAAGAAAATGAAAAGAAACGAGAGGAAAGGAAAGGAAATGCAGGTAAGAGAAGGGAAAGGCAATGCTCGTAAGGGATGGGAAGGGATGGGAGGGGAGGGGAGGGGAAGAAAACGGAAGGCAGCGAAAAGCTGCAATAAGGGAAATGCAATTTAAGCTGAAAACAAAAAGAACACACCTCGCATTCATCCATATTCGAAGCACACAAAATGGAGTAGACTCTCAATCGTGTAAGTCGCAGTGAAATCAGCATTTTCAAGACATTCGATTTATCATTATAGGAGGAGGATTTCCATTCAAAAAGATACTTGAAAAGATAAAACTGGTGTGGGAGTAACGAAAAATTAAAGCTTTGAAAGCACCTTTGCATTTATATGCACTCATGAGTATCAGGTTGATGCAATTGATTGCATTCCTTTTCATTTAATTGCTTTACAACACTTGTCTTTACTCTTCACTCTGTTTGCCTTTTTTCTGTTGCGCTTTTTGCCCCTTGTTGGACACGCACTTTCGCTGCAGCTGCATAAATGAGGAAAACGATACACAAAATGCATGAAAATCATTAAAACAAAGAAGCTGCCGAGACCCAGACCCGGCCCCAGAGAAAGGCCTTTTGCGACTTCATTCGACACCATAAAGTATACATTTTAATGATCCACAGAAACATTAAGAGTCTCTGTGTATTCCTTCCACATGTTTGTTTTTTATTTATTCTATGGATCGCTTGTAGAACTCTGTATCCCTGTGGTGCCCCCCCAGTTCGATTTTCCCTTTAATTATTTCTTGTGGCAAAAATCAGGCTATAAAGACATCATTTCCGTCGTCATCAGTCATCGCTTTGAAGTATATAAAGAATGAAATGGGAAGAACAAGAAATCCTGACACAAGGGTGAATGACCCCCAGAGGGTCGCTGTTGCGTCTCTGTCTCTCGCTGTCCGAAGGAGTATTTGGGTGTGCATTTGGTGCTCTTAAGCCTCCGCTCATCATTATAATCCTCAAATTGATTCCGTTCTTGTTCTGTGGCTCTGCTGATTGTTGATTTATCAAAAATCATGCACGAAAATTGAATTAAATTTGCAAACTGTCGAATGGCATTCGATTCACTCGCTATCTCTTTCTGTGCCGTGAGTCTCGCTTTAAACTGCCGCAAAAATGTTAAATAAATTATAGCCATGCGAAAAGAAAAATCGCCACTGCAACAACAATGCAATGCCGAGGGAAAACATCAACAATTAAAAAATAAAAGAAAAAAAAAAAATGCAAAATGGCTGGGAAAGCGGTGAGAGATGGCAGGGAATGGGGGATGGGCGAAAACTTAAACAAGAAAAAGGAAAATTATTGCACGATGTGCATAAAATAAAGATTTTTCCAGCCTCTCGCCAGGTTCTGCCCCATTTTCCTGTACGGTTCGGTTGGCGGACACTTTAATTTCTTCTTCAGAGCGGCACACGGTCCCTTTTCAGATCCCTTTGAACGAACGGCCCACCGTTTTTTTTTTGGCTTATTTTTAATTATTATTTTCCGCATTTCCACAATTTCTTAATTAAGGGAATCGAACAAATAAACAAAAAAAAACAAAAATTATTATTTAAAGCAAGAAGCAAAAGCCAAAGAGAGAAGCAGTTGCCATGTAATTGGCCTTATGACTTTTTAAATAAATGTACAATAAATTAATTATTATCATTATTTTTTCGTCTTTTCATTGCCGTGCAGTCATCGTCCCCGCAGCAGCAGCAGGTACGACGATAACAGGAGGCTAACAGTGTGGGATAACAGTAACAGTAACAGCAGTACAGTTGCTAATTATGATACTAACAGTGGGAGTGTTAAGAGTAACAGTTGTAGATAGATGAAGCCCAAAACCCTTAATACGAATTTTAATAAATATATTTATTGTGGGATGTGCTCCAATATTTATTTATTGATTGACAAATAGTCAATATCTGTAGATTTGTATTATCTGTATCTGTAATAACACAGAAATAACACAACCCCCAAAGACTATTAATTCTATGGGTTTCCCCACAATATATAAACCTAAGAGACTGCATGGTTAGTAGTTTAATCTACACAGTATCACTAATTTGAATATGATATTCTTAACAAACACTTTATATGCCTCTGAAGAATATTGCTATAATCGTATATTTGAGTTTGTCTTTAACTAACTCGTTTAACCACAGGTTAGCAACAACATTTATACATTTTACATACATAAAATTTATTCATTTGAACACAGTCGTGTCTCAGCAGGGTCCCCGATAGAGCTCCATCGATGGCCGGGCTGGGCTGCCCTTCAATCCATTCTTCTCCTTCACTATTATTTTCTTGAACTTTAAAGTGGCGCTCCCTCAAGAGTTGAATCACTGCCAATACACAGCTCTCCCACTCGACAACGGGGGGTGCGGCTGGAACGGTGCTGGTGTAAGCCGCTTAGGGGAAGTCGCCTCATTAGCTGTGACTTCTTGTAACAGTTCCTGGTAATATCGCCCCCGCTTGGGAGTGGCCCAGGGCTAGGACTTTGACATGGACACTGGGCATGGACATGGGCAGATGGGAGATGTTGGATGGTCTGGTTAATAAATATTAATTAGCAATAATAATTATATGAAAATGTTTTTGCACCACTCTCCACTTCTCTATGGTTTTCTCTCGCTCTCCCTCTCCCTCTCTCTTTCTGTGTCTCCACACTCATTCTCTCTGTGTGTGTCAGTCTCTCCTTTCTACCTCTCTGTGCTGTTGCTATTTATCGTGGATTTTTTCTTTCAGTTGTACAACATTTTCATTTGATTTAATTTTATTTGCTATGGGCTGTTTTTGTTGGCTGGTTATTGTTTATTTTACACACATTCCATTTAAATTAACTGGAATTTTGTTGCCATTTTGCGGCACTGTGGTCGCTGGTGCATACATACACTCATGAATATATTGTACTCATGCCTCAAATATTTTAGCGTAATTTTTTACGCTTTGCTTCAACCATTCTCTATGTTTATTTCTTTGTTCGATGAACATTAAAGCTTTTACTTTTAAAGCCATCCACTTAGCATTAATCGGTATTAAAATTTGTACCGAAATCAATTCGAGAGAGGTGGAGGCAGCAGGCATGCAACTCCTTGCATAATAAACCATATTTCCATGCCGAAAACAAAGCAAAAAGTATCAAAGAATATGTGTGCAACAAATAAATAAATAAGCTACATATAAAGGGAGTAAAACAAGCACTGAAAATTGGCAAAAATAAAAACAGGGGGTGTCCATGGTGTCCATGGTAAATATGTATTTCGCACTGCACTGTACTGGTATTTTTTTCCAGCCGTATTTCCATGGCTGCTAAATGAATCCCATCGCTGGCCCAAAATGCACTTTGACTCCGGTTAAGTGAGTCGATGGTCGATGCCACACAGTAGAGTGCCACTGGTAATGGCGATGAGGATAGGTTTCCAAAAGTTCACTCTCGTTCGTACATCATTGCATCAAGATATGTATTGTGAATGCGCCAATTCAAAAGGTGAATTCAACCGACTGAAAAACTTTGAGTACTACTCGTGCTTCTTTTGCAGTTCGATTGAATATATTCCCATAGCTAAGCGAAGTTTCTGTTTAAGGCTGCTGTTATACGATAATTTTTATGTGAATCTAAAACTCTTTGATTCCTATAATCCGCACAGTTTATGTGGGGGGCGGGGCGGCTTTGGCTATCAATTAATTGCCATTTTCATTCCCTGGCAACAGTGAAAAATCATAGAAACTGACAAATAATTATAATAATTATAATTATTGTGGCAGGAACAACGGCCCATGCTGCGTATACGCAATGCAATTGTGTTCAATAACAGTTTTCATTTGATTAACATTTAGAGCCCAAAATGGAATGAATACTTTATGAATAATTGCCGCGACAGCTAGCCCCAACAAGCGGACGTGGTTCGTTCAATTAAATTCATCCCAAATTCAACCAAAATCAACCAAAATCTCCACATTTGCCCCCTACGAAAACCCATTCGTATCGATTTAATGGCGAAATGGGAAACGGGAATATGGGCGCCAACGTTTTGCTGTGGATTTTTGCTGTTTGCGTTTTAGGCGCGTGTTAATCTAATGCTGTTAGTCAATTTATATTCATTATAGCTGAAACTTGTCCAATACCGCGACAGAACAGTCCACCCTGTGGGGCGGGGGATTTGCCGGATTTGGATTTCGATTTTTGAAATATTTTCATTAATTTGGTTTCATATATGCAATACCCTTGGAAAGGAGATTATGATTATGATTAGATTTGTGATGCCAAAAGCAGAGGGAGGGAAATATTATGCACATACATACATACACTTTAAAGTATATAAATGTATATTTAATTGCATCACTTGGAATATGCAACCAGAAATAAATAGGAATATAGGAATAGAAAAACTTTATTATATTGCTGTTGCAGCAGACAAAAAAACCTGCAAAATTTTAGTTTTATATAAAGATTTTTGTATTTCTCAGCTAAATTTAATCAAAGCTCGTCAAGAACCCCTCGCACATGCAGGGTGTGCGATAAAGAAATACATTTCTCTTACGGAACACAATTAATAAGTTGTTTATGCTCAGATGACGCTCTCTTCGTATTCTAAATATATTACTTGACACCAAAGTCTGTGTTCCGTGTTTACAAATGTATGTACATATGTATGCATGTATGTACTGTGTGTGCGTGTGGCTTGAGCTCGAGAGATTAGGCTATGCAGCAAAGATCGGCTTCTTATCTCTCTCTCTCTCTTTGATTGTCAAATACACACACACACACACCACAACAGACATTTGTTGTTGCTTATGTTGTTGTTATTGTGAAACAGCTTCGTTTGTTCAGCTGCAGCCGCAAACGAAGAAGATGAATGTATGTATGTATGCTGCTGATGCACTACATACCACTGCATGCATGTTCTGGTCAGCTAGATAGATCGGTTGTGTAGTGGATTATTATTAAAAGCTCTGATCTACAGGGTATCCAAACCTTCGAGCCCTCAAAATTAGTTTTTATTTCTACTGCTGCTGCTGTTTTTTTTTTGCACGGATCTGCACTTAATATACTCGGATGTTTTTCTTTCTCTGGTTTGTTGCTATTGTTGTTGCTGCCGTTAGTTAATCGAATGTAAATCGACATTTAATTATAACTTATCTGCCATTTATTTATTTATGTGCCCCTCAGACCCCTTTACATTTTGCGGCTTTTGTGTAAATGTCAAGCCGCCAAGCCTTTTAAGCTTAGATTTGGCTTTCCATAAAACCATACAAACAAAAAAACAAACAGTTACACATGTACAATGTACATACGTACATGAATGTATGTATGTGCATAAATATTTGCAACACAAAATCATCATAAATATACATTACGCGATTATAATTTGGATTTATCTGCCCCAGTCCCCTCTTTATATATATAGTCTCCCTATCGTGTGTATCTTTATATATGTATAAATAAAGGTCTATATATAATATGCGGTATGTCTATTATGCAATTAATTGCCGGATATTTAAATTGAATGCGCAACTTAACTGCACAAATAAGTGAATGCAAAAAGGTTGATGGATTCCATGGATATTCGGGATTACATGCAAATTGATACGATTAATCTTATACGGGAAGGGTCCATAATAATATGTGCATGCCCCCTGACATGGAGTATAGAACAGAACAGAAATAATTCTATATATGTGCAGAGAATATAAATTTTCTTTAATTGTAATTTAACTTTCTTCGGATCTACAGATGCGCAGAAACATCAATGAGTCAATCATGCACCATTGTCATCCATCAATTTGCCATCTCTAATCAAACATTTTCGATTTTTCTCCAGGCCAAAATAAAGAGAAGGAGGACTTTCAGTGCCCCTCACACATTGCCAATGGCAACTATGCGGATCCTGCCACCTGTCGTCGGTTCTACCAGGTGAGTGGACAACCCAATGCCATGCATCATGCATCTCCATTTTATGGATGGTCTTTCATTTGAATGGAATCTCCCCCCCCCCTCTCACACACTCTGACTGTCCACTCTAACTCTGTTTCTGTCTCTTTTCATCAATTTAGTGCGTGGACGGCTATCCGTATTTGAACCGCTGCCCGTCCGGCCTCTACTTTGACGATTTACAGAAGTACTGCACATTCAAGGATGAGGCCAAGTGCGGCCCACTGCCAACAAGTAAGTCGTCCCTCCAAAAATCCAAATGAAAGAGAGGCCCAAGCCTCCCTTTTCTCTTCTCTCTCTCTCGCTCTGCCTCGGTGTCTGGGTTGCTGGCTGAAGAGACAATTGAAAGTGCAACATAAATCAGAGAGGGAGCACAGAAAATAAAGTAAAAACTTTAAGTGCACTCTAAGTGATGCCACCAAGAACGAGATGGCACCAAGACGAGGCACCAAAGCTCTGTCTCTGTCTCTCTAGATTTGGATCTGGATCTGTGGCTGTGGAGGCAGGTTTTTCTCTCTCTGTGTGTGTATGTGTGTGTGTGGCAAAATGCCAAGCGGTTTGCTAAACGATTTCCAGTGAAAAACTAGAAATATAAAAGCGAACTTCGGGCCGAAACAATCGCCTGTGGCTTTGCAAAAAGGCTGATGGGAGGAGGAAGCCACCGCAAAGGAGCGCACAAATTTATTAGAAGCTCAACATTGAATTGGGCATTCTATTACAATTCGCACAAGGAGACACAGGGATATGCACAGGAAAACACACACACACACAGAGACAGAGAGAGAGGGAGAGAAAGACATTTGTCTGGGCCGGATGTTGTGCATTAGGAAGCAATTTTGAGTAAATGTCGCATAATTCATTTATGGCTACAAAGTTCCACATACATCCAACGATTCCAGAGAGTCCTGAATGTGGATATGTGTTATGTGTGCCTGTGTGTGTGTGTGTGTGTGTGTGGGGGGGGGGGGACCAAAAATCGAATGCTATTCGATGACAATGCAATGAGCAAAATGGTGGCGACCAGTACCATTCGCCACACACCGAATCCCCCAAACATTGTCCGCTCTATTGACTTGCCTAACGAGACGCTGCCCACAGCGGGGCCACAGCGCCACCTTCAGGCTCCAGTGCCAGCTTCAGCTTCAGCTTCAAGATGAATGCCATGTGCTTCTCCCCACTGTCTGTCTATCTGTCTCTTCCTCTCTTCTCTCTCTCTCTCTCTCTGTCATCCCACAACATTGAGTGCACTTCAAATGGGGCACAAACGCGACCGCTTAAGAATAACCAACTCCCATCTATCTATCTCTATCACTATGTGTGTGTGTGTGTGTGTTTTTTTGTATAGTATGCGTGTGGGTGTGAGTGTGGGGAGGCCATTAAAGCTTACATTTAAGATTTAGTTTTCAGTTTTACGGCAGTTCTTAGCTTCAGTTGGAGACTGCACCTACAGAACTGGAAACCAGTTTGCTTCCTTTTCTTTCTATTTTTTTTCTCTTTTTCTTTTTTTGGCATACACTTGACGAATTTTATTTTGGGGAAAAACCGCAAAAGGGAAATTGTCTGCATGGTAACTAGGTAACGCATTTGGATAGCAGTTTTTATGGGTATCGCTAAGTCGGTTAGCGGGCATAATTAAGAGCAGTATATACATACATAAAGAGAGAGAGAGCGAGGGGGAGAGTGCAATTTAGAGAGATTCCGTGAAGTTGCCTTTAAGGCATGTTAATTAATTCCTAGAACATTTTAGATAGTGAGTTTTTACGATGGGATTCGTTCATTGAAGATTCTTCTGCTTTCTTGAAAACAATCACTTTTTGTTTTGTTAAGTGTAAGCACACGAAAAGGCCAAAAATTCAACAGAAACGAGCATAGAATTAAATGCACAGACTCTCACACACACACACACACACACACAGAGAGAGAGAGAGAGAGCGAGACACAGGCATATGCAGAGTGACATATCGTTCACATGCAAGCACGCACTTTTGCAGTAGTCGCCATTCCGGTTCCGGTTGCAAGTCCTGCTACGTCTAAAGATGGGATGGGTGGAAGTGGGGATGGGGGTGGGGGCGGTTGGTCTGTGTAGTCCCATAGCAGAACGGGAGCGAGCCCTGGGTACTGGTCGTTGGTCGGAAGGCAACCGCTTGGAAGAAAGCTGCGACAGCTAAAGCGTTTTGGGGATTTGCGTAATACCAACTGGAATGTTGTCCTCATATAAATAGCTACCCCTCCCTCGCTCACACAATACATACATACATACATATATACACAGACAAATATACGTATATGTGTGCTGAAGAAAAGTAATAACATAAATGACGCACACACACACCCTCTGTGGCAGTGTGGGGTAAGGCAGCACGAGGAGAAATATTGCAGCAGAGATTAGGTCAAAGCTCTCTGTGCATAAAAATTTTGGTTTTTTTTTGTTTGTCGCTGCTTTTCTGCTGACTCCAGATACATAAAGGCGATAGGTATGTAGTTCTATATGTCCATACATATATGTATATGTATGTATACATATCTGATTCTCAATTTTTGTTCGTCTGTCGTCTGCTGCCACAGGAAATGGCTAACCCAATATAACAATTTTTGCCTCACTCCAACTCCAACTCCAACGCCAATGTCGATTCGGCCATTTGGCAATTTGTACGTTTGCCATTCGCAGCATTTTTCCAGGAGATGAACGGGGTGAAAGGGTGCTTGGATGTGTTTGTTTTTGCGGGCGTGCGAGTGAATGTTATGTCACACGTCCATGAGGCAATGAGGCACTGCTAAATGCAGGCATATGATGCGTATCATCATCAAACAGGGCCGTGGTAAGTCATCGACAAACTATGTAGCATGAGAACAGACCAGAACAGGGATGGGAATTTTCCGAGGTTTAATGCAATTTTTGTGCTGTATGATCATCCGGGATAATCAGTTTCAGAAGTTCCTTTCGCCAATCCACTGGTAAACTAATTTCTGTCATTGAAATGGAGCTAACAGATCCAATAAGACTGACTCCCTGTCAGAATATCTGTCAGCCGTCTTCAGTTATTCCCGTTCCTCGCTGAATGAATTGAAATACTCAAGTATTTGCTTGTACATTAATTATACAGCTTATTGAAACCAAAGTGAATACAAAACCAATTTCTTTCGGCACTTACCATTAAAGGAATCACCTTCAAAAGACACCAAAGACATGCGGAAAACCTTTCAAGCTATATTTTGAAGACAACAAAAAAAAACGCTGTATATGTATTTTAGCATTAAACCACAGCACATCCAAAATGAGTGAAGAAGCAAACTAACTGATTGCCCCATAATCGTCTGGCACTTTAATTTAGCCAGCCATCTGCCAACTGCCTAAGCCAGACGGAGGATTAAAAGCTCTTGCCAGCCGAAAGACTTCCTTTGCAGCATCCGTTTTTCAGCCCCACACACCCCACACACCGCACCAACCCACCATCGACCAACAGATTCATGACTTTGGCCAAAATACTCGGCTGACGAATTGCGTATACGCAACGGAGGTCTCTACAGAATTTGAAATTGTGACAGCAACTTGTCCCCCAAAATAAATAAGCAAAAAGTGGTTGAGATTTTCATAATACATGCATACATATGTATGTATGTATGTATGTATGTACTTATGTGTGTACGAGTACGAGTATATTCATTCACTCGTACAATGTGCATATAAATGCGAATTCATTTCATTCCGATAGGATTTTGATCTGCTGCAAAGGCGACAGACACAAATTAAAATATTTAAGCCAGTTTTTTTGCTCTTGAAATTTAACAACATTTCAAGAGGTCCAAAGAGAGTCATTTCGGAATGGAGAAGTATTTTGACAGGCAGCAGCAGCAGCAGCAACAGCAGCTGACACCAAAATCTACCCAATCCGCACACATCCGCACATATGCAGAGGAGCTGAGCTGATAAAATTCAAAGAAAAATGTTTTGCACTGAATAGTTTTCAATTTCATAATTCAGTGAGCACGCTCAATGACAGCATTTCAATATTGCTTACACAACAACATCAGCAGCAGCAGCAGCAGCAACAGCAGCAGAATAGCAACAGAAACAACAACTTGAAGGAAAGGCATTCGGGAGACTGATCGAAGATTGAAATACCCTGGCAGATCCAAGGGTTCTAAGATGAAATTCCATGCCAAACCTTGATCTGACTCTATTTTGGGGGCAGAGAGAAATATCTGAAATATATAATCAAAAAATGCGAGCTATTATTATGTACGCTGCTCCCTGAAAAGAATTGTTTTTTCTGTTGTTGCACTGCTGCCAAGATAATGTCCATTGCGAAATTGTGGGTACATGGCTAATTTATCCTGTCTAGTCGGAGCCTATTATACCCTCCATTTTCCTGGGTATTTACACTCGTAACAACTATGGACAGCAGTAGCCAAATATAACGTATACGCACTGTATGCAATGATGCGAGTCGTTGCCTCTCCCTGTCCCTCTCTCTCTCTGTCTCTGTCTCTCTGTCTCTGTCTCTCTGTCTCTTGTCTACGAGTATGGTCTCTGGCAGGACAAAATGCATAAGACAAAGTTACTAAAAGTGTTTATTACATTTTATTCAATAACTCAGCACAAGTTGCAGGCAAACACAGTTCTAGAGTAGAAGGACTAAAGGAAGGAGGAGGAGCGGGAGCGGGAGAGCTGGGGGGATTCTTGAAGTTACTTTTTGAAATAATAAAATTTTATGCATTTACTTTTGTGTGGGGGCTTCTTGCTTCCCAGGCCCCCCAGAGAATTTATGTTGATTGCAGTCCTGTCCTGGTCCACACTGTCCTCTCCTGTCTCCTGTCGCCTGTCCTGTGGTGTCCTATATGTGCATGTGTGTGTGCGTGTGTGTCCTGTGTCCTGGCCAATTAATTGCCAAGCATTTCATTTTCATTGCCGTTATTTATGATGTGACCACAAATATTTTTCAAAAAGGCATTGATATGCCACAAGAGGGTTTTTATTTGTCGTTTTTTGTCCCTTCCGGTTTCCCCTTTTCTTTTTTGTTTTTTCCATCTACGGATTGTCCTGCCCCTTTTTTTCTGAGTGGAAAACAGATCAGATATTTTATGTTAATAATAAAAACTATACCCTTCCTCCCCCCGCCCAATGGAATGCTCATTCATATTTATTGTGTGTGTTTATTGTATTTTATTTTGTGTAAACTAGTTTTTTGCTGGCATTACATAAATGCCAAAGGTGCCACAGCGGGTGGGGATTTTGTTCACAAGCAGCAGAGAGCAGAGCAGAGCAGCAGAGCAGAGAAAAAACTAAAACCGAATCAATGCCAACTGCAGAAGGAGAGAGTATACGGATCCTGTCCTATCCTGTTCCTCTTCCTGATCCGTTGCGAAGGACAACCTTTGTGTGTCATTTTTCCCCTTTGTTGGCGCTTATGCTGTGGCTGGGTATTAGGATTGCGTCTGCATAACTTTGAAGCTGTGTGTAATTAAATTCCGCTTCATCCAAAAGAGAGTCGTGGCCGGAATTGGTTTCATAATCACTCTGACACTCTCCGGGACAGGCTAAAGCAGCTGCTTGCTGCCAGACAATCGAAATGGGAGTCTGTGTGCGCCATCATTAGTTTTTCTTTGCATTCGGCATTCAATTGATTGATGATGTGACGCGAGAGCAGAGTCTGAAGCAGAATTAGCATCAGAGTAGAACCTGGCAAGGGGCTCACAGGTGCTCCGCACCAACACAACAAATTAGCATAAACATCAGTGGAAGTGGTGGCAGCTTTGGCTTTTTGTTTGTAGTCTTGCAGTCATTCTTTCTTTGGTGAAAGTCATCAGCAGAGTTTGTTGCTGGAAAATATCGAACAGGCATGGGAAATCCAACCGATTGGAGTCTGTAGAAGCTTTCTGCTAGCATCGAATAGCGCTGATTAAAATTAAATTCCCAATAATTTGCGGAACATTGAATCAATTTTCCTTCACCTGCTGCTCAGTTTACCCACTGGCCCACTGACAGTCGTGTGTGGCTGCGAGCTGGAATTCACAGACACCACACGGCCGTCACACAGAATGCCAGCACAGCCCACAACCCCCCACGATCCATGCACCGCGCACCGTGCACCGTGCACCATGCCCCCCGTGAGTAGCGTTGATTTAGAAATTTCCTTGGCCCCTGCATCAAAATCAAATCAAATCAACGCCTACAGCGCAGTGAATCGATAGCGTATCCATGGCGAGTGCTAATGCAGTTAGTGCAACTCCAGATATAGCGGGACTATTATGTACAACGTGCCTCGTCGCCTTCCCTCCGCCAATTTGGCACTTCCACACCCGCTGCCAGTGATTGGGATGGGGTGGGGTGGTGTGGGGCAGAAGAAATGCATTTAATATTTGCCTCCATCGACTCCATCGATGGTATTGCCTTCAACCGAGCATCGTTTCACCTTTTGTTTTGTGAACTTTAAGCGAATTTGTTGACTCGATCACAGAACAAAGCCAAACAAGGCAGGACTCCCAGGACGAAGGCTGTAGGATGAAGATGGCCACGATAAAGAAACACAAAAAAAAAAAAACCAATTGAATTCTATTGAGTTTTGGGACTGGCAATCACATACTCGCACACGGATGGCCCGTACACACGCCCAACGCCGCCCACATATGCAAATAGCTTTTGACCCCATACCCATCATCATTCCCCATCCCCCCCACTGCAGCCAGAGAGAGCTCAGGATTTAGCTTAAGGTTATTTGACTTTCGGTCTCTCTCTCTCTGCCCCCTACACCCACACACACACACACACACACGCAAGTCGAGTAGAAGTATCTCTGGGAGACTTGCTGGGATGTTAACTTTCTTTTAAATTGTTTCTTGCACATTTCGTTGCTTGTCTGTGCTCTGTTCTGTTGTGTTCTGTTCTGTTCTGGCCGGGATTCTGTCCGGGATTCTGGCCTCCTTATTGATATTTGCTTGGCATTGTATTGTTACTTGTTGACTTTTAACTTTGGACAAGCCTCTCGATGCACTTCACTTCGATTACCATCCGGATTGGATCTTGCATAACAAAATAGATTTTAAATAATTTTCAAACTGATTTGTGATTCCCTCTCTCTCTCTCTCTTCCACTCTCTGTTTAGCTCCTGCCCCTGCCACAGATGCACCGGCAGACACCGCCCAGCGCTGCAGCACCGAGGACTGTGCCCTGCCCTACTGTTTCTGCTCGAAGGATGGCACACAGATACCTGGCGACCTCGAGGCCGAAAAGGTAACTAAAGATACCCGTTGTACTATAAGGGGGGCGGCAGGGTAGTTGGCTACCCTCGTATTTATACATTTATTATATGTAAATGTGAGTGTGTGTGTACAAAATACGGCTACAATTCGATTGAATTCGTGGCCATTCAGAGGTGTCTAGGGTATCACAAGGTGGTTTAAATATTCAGAGCAGAGCAGAGCAGAGCGTAATAACAAACGGATTGAAGGGCTTTCTCCTGGAAACTCCAACCAGAAAAAATGACTCATCAGACTTAACTAACATTTCTCACAGTCTCCTCTCCTCGCTCAACAACAGACCATGCATAAGTCGAACCCTTCGGAACCCTTCAGTGGAATGGCTCCCTGCTACTTGTTGGCTCTTCCCTTTTTCCCATTTGCATTTAAGTGTTAATTTGCAAGGCGATAAATTTCCAGTGCATTGACAGCTTTTATTTTTACGACACAGAACTGGGGCTATGGCAGCTGTGGATCGAATGGAATCGGCAACGAAATGCTTTGGATTGGGGATATATACAACGCTCTCTATATCGTTCACAGTTCTCAGCGAGTTCTCAGTTCACGGGGATGGGCTGGGCTGGTCTGGGCTGCCTCCTACCTCTTGCCTGCTTGGGCCATGCTCATAAATCTATGTATTTGCATTCGGTTTGCTCTTATCGCCGCTTTGCATAAGGAAATTGTGCTCTTGTACTCGACGTACTTTTTGTCCAGAGCTCTCTCTCTCTCTGTCACTCTCTTTCCCTTGTTGTCCGCTGCCGTGTTTGTCCTTGCCATATTGTTGCCACTGTTGCTGCTCCTGTTGATTCGAATATCCTGTTTAATAACTACGAGTACACGCTTTTGTTTATTTGGCCAAGAGTTATGCGCTTGCCATAGCAGCAGGGGCAGGAGCAGGGGCGGGCAGTCCAGTAGACTCCTCCTACTTTGGCTTAAAGCAATTGATTCTGTTTCAATCTCAACTGAATATGAAATTCAATGCATACATACATTCAGACAATTACTCTGCAGTTCTTTTCATTCTTTGCAGTGGAAGTAATACGTGTGTTTGTCGTATGCCAATTTATTGGCAGTTCAACCTCAATCAACAAAAAATATTAATTAAATATTTTTCTTGTACTAAGCTCGGTATTCCTGTTTTCCTGGCTTCAGCATTCAGCATCCAGCAACTTGAGCGAAGAGCGTGTTTCGTCTGAGATATTACTGACACACAGCTCAGGAATATACATGCATATGCTCTGCAATTATTCCTGAAGTGAAAAGTGAGATTTGAGGGCAAAACCAAAAAGAAAGATGCAGCTTCCTTCTCTTTGCTTTTTGCACTTCATCGTCAGAGTGTTCCCTTTATTGATTTTAGTTGAATTTCCCAATTGGCACAGCTGATGCCTCAGCCCAATTAAGAGTTATGTTCCACTGCCTCACGGAACTAGCAAATTACTGGCAGGAATATTCTGCGTTGCCAGAGACAGGCCTTTACGGGGAACGTGAGCACTACGTATACGTAATGGCATTACTCCAAGAGTTCAAGCCTCTTTGATTCTCGCACAACTCCCCATCGACATTGGCTATATACTTCCTCGTACATATAGCGCCCTCGTGCTGGTTGTTTTTTAATGACATCATTTGCACCGCGCTCTGCTTTTAAATTATTTGAATATATTTCCCACTTTTGCCGCATTAAAAACATCCGCGGAAAATCAGTAGTTCATTTTTCAGGCTCAGTTCAATCTATGGGTATGCGTATCCTTCCGGCCTGCCCTGCCCCGCCCTGCCCCTGTGCTGGCCGATTGACAGACAGTTTGTAGTGCACATTAGTTGTGGTTTCACTTGCATAATAATCCAATAGCTGCATTAACCGACACATTGAATGCTCTATGGATGGGACTTGTGCATGCCAGAAGCATGTGCACCAATAAGCATCTCTAGCCGCGCCGAGCAACCCCTTTTCACGTGCAGGGTATCGTTTGGCGGCAGAAAAAAAGGCGGCACAAACAAATATAAGTTGAAAGCAAAGCGGATGTTTATGTGGCAGGCAGCGGTAGCGGCGGCTGCATAAACGCAAATCGCAGACGAACAAACAAAAACACAAACACACAGATGGGAGAGAGAGATATAGGCACACAAATACAAACAAGGCAAGTGGAGCCACTTAATTTTCGAAATTGAAATGCATGTCTGTCCGCTGCCATCCCCATGTCGTTCTGTCCGTTCACCGTAGTGGTTGCAGCAGTGTGTGTGTGTGTCTGTCGCTACATCTGTGTGTCTGTATGTATGCATGTATGTGTGTGTGCTTATTTAAGTGTTATTAGCGCTTACATGTGTTCCCACCAACAAGCAGCAAGCGGCAAGCGGCAAGCGACAGACCCCAAAACAATTCCATTTGCTGACTGAATCTTTGTGTCTATGTGTGTATGTATGTATGTATGTCCTGCGTACATCTGTGTGTGTGTGTGCGTATCTGTGATTCGTTTGGCACGCTCATGTGTCTGTGTTTGTGTGTGTGCGCACATAATTATAATTAATATCATCTCAATTAACCGCAAACAAGCGGTTAATTTGTGCATGCCAAAAATTTGCTTTGATTTGGAGTCGCGTCGCACCACGCATCACGCATACGCAGCGTATGCCGCCGTCACAGGCACGGCTTTTCAGCTTCGCACTTCAGCAGTGCCCCCCCGCCCACTGTTATCCGTCCCCTTGCCCAGCCCTGCCCTGTGATTCCTTTTCTGCCCCTTTTTTTTTAACCACTTCTTTTATTCGTGTTCTTTTTTTTTGCCTGCCTTGGCATTTCGATTATCGTTTCGCTCCATTTCACAATGTGCGGCCAATTTCCGCAATGCAAACCGGATATCTAGCCGCCGAACAAAAAAAGTAAAGACATTCATATACCCTTTCGGGCCACTGAATGCCATCGAATATGAAGTAACTTTTCAGCGCCCAAATAGACACTTATTTGGCTGCTAAATACAGTCATAGAAGGGATCCATTGAGTTATCAATCAAGGCAGAGACAACAATACAAACGACTCCAACGGGGCATAAAGTGTATGGATGGGGATGGCTGATGGGGGGGGCCTCTAAAGAAGGGCTAAAATTGCGGCTAGCAAACCGCTTTTGCTCAATTTGAATTCGAATCGAATTTGATTTGAGAAAATGAAATGAAAAGATGGCACAGTGTCAACAAAAAAGTTTGTGCATGGTGGAATGGAGGAATGCCTCAAGAGGTGCCGTTGCCGGTGCCGGTGCCGTTGCCGTTGCCGATGCCTAGTGAGTGCTGGATGGGCAGATGGGTGGGTGGATTGCAATCAATGAGCCGCTCAATTGTCGCTGCGATTGAGCAACTGAGCTATGCAAATATTCCCCCTCCCCAATCATCACAAGCACTAGCTCTCCCCAGTGTGTCTGGCAAACTTCGTTTTGCCACCTCCATCCTGCCACGGCCTGTGAGGGGCGGCGCGGCGGATAGTTGGGGTGGCTGCCATATTTGCTGAAAGACTAAAGTGCAAACTTGAGTCGCATTAGGCGAAAATTATCAACGCACACAGAGAAGAAGTGCAGCAGCCAGGGGGACGAGCTGGGACTGGAACGACGGGGGACTTGAGTATCTCAATTCCCCCATAACTTTTATGCTCTATTTGATTTGGCCATACACTGCCGAGTACTCGCAGTTGCAGCACCTCCTCAGCTACTTTATCCATCATTCTCATGGTCTTGCATCTAATCAGCCTAACTAGCGGTTAAAAAGTGTGCGTGTCCTTGGGCTTTTTGCTACCCTAACCGTGTCAACTATCATCCTTGAAAGAAATATTTTATTGACAACCGTTTCTTAAGCAATTTAGTCCATTATTTTCCCCATTCGAATAACAAAGAATGACCCAATTTACAATAAAACAAGAGATTATAGCTTCAGTAAATTACAATAAGTCACTTCTGATGGATTCCTTTATTCCAATATGGAATTCCATATTGCCATTCCATTCCATTGCATTCCATTCCTTACCGTTTCAAGCTCTTTCTCGCTCTTTTCTAACACTTTCAAAGCTTCCAAAAATCTCTTATTCTGTACCATTTTTAGCACCCCTCCACAAATCAGTTCTGAATAGGCTTCCAACCGATTTGGTGGGTCGCCAAACTTTACAAGGTTGAGGAATTTCCCCACAAGAGACGCCTTGCGGCAATAGGTAATAGACGATAGCCGATTCAGCAATATGGCAATTGCATAAAGTTCGAACTGCCTCACAATGCCACACTTTCGTCCTTGGACTCGCCGAAAAACTTGGTCCAAGCTGGCAATTTTATGATTTGTTTTAGCCCTCCCTAGCTATCCCCCTCTGCTAGTCTCTCTCTCTCTGTCCCTCTTTTCGGACATTCATTATATTTGCAATAATATTTTTACTTCATAATTTGGCGAGAGCGAAAAAAGTTTTGCAGTTGATTTGCACTCATTTTGCGGAAACGCGCCTTTGAAATATGCCTTTCAATAAAGCTCTCGACCCCCGACCCACCGACCAACCAACCAACCAACCAACCACCAAAGGCAATAAGAAGATTCATCTGAGAGTGAGTGTGGGAGTGGGGCGGCTGCGATGCGATGCGATGCGATGGAAACCAAATGAAAAACCAACCAACGGATGAGAAACGAAAGCAAAGGAAATGCTCTCAAATCGAAGCGAAAATTTCAATTTCAATGGCTGTCGAGAACCACACCACACCAGAACCTCATACCAAGCATTGTGGCTGCTGCTGCTGCTTTCGGAGACGACTCCGCCGTCATCTAAGCCGCACTTAAGCCGGATCGCCGCGCCCGATGCCGATGCCGATGCCAATGCCTCGAGTGTTTCACGCCTCTGCATAATTTTGCCAGCTCTGTCCAGCACAGGCTGCAGTCGACTGGCCGACTGGCCGACTGGTCGACTGGCCGTTTGGCCGTTTGGCCATTTGGCAGTCTGGGGTTAGGTATCATCTCCACATTAATATTGAATTTGTACAATAATCCTTTTTATGTGTCCTGCAATGAGCGTTAAGTGGATTCTTGCCGCCATGCCACACGCCTTTATTGCCAGCTCTCTCGGTCGAAATGCATTTTGGATTTTTGCTCAACCTTAAGCTCAACCTGTGTAGCTCCTCCATGCATAAAACCAGCTGGATACTGGATAGAACCTCCCACCACAGTTCTCATCAGTATATACTCTAATACTGTCTGGGGGCTGCAGCTCAATCGAATGTCTGTGCTGAAAATTGAATGTTGAATAAGTTAAAAGACCTTTTTGCATCCCCTTTCGTACAAGAGGTGGACAATCGATCGATTAGACGGCTAAATATTCCAGAATATATATTTCCAAATATTCTAGCGAATCCCTCCTTGGCCTAGAGTATTTACACTTCGTGTTTGCCCTGTGCCCTCTACTATTGCTGGCTCCGGATTTTTCCCCTGTTTTTATGTATCTTCATTTCGTTGGCTTTATTATTTTGTATTTTTCCTTTTTCCCTTTACCGCATTACTCAGAAGTCTTTGATTATGGAATTGCACTTAAAGTGTTGCAACAGCAGCAGCGGCAGCGGCAGCGTCTTCTTGGGCAGGGGGCTCGCGTTTTGGGTGCCAATTTTGGTAATGGAATTTTGGGTTTGTTGTTGCTCTGTTGGATGGTTGTTGCGTTCGTTTTATTGATAGTTGAGTATTATTTGAAATTAATTTGTTTTCGCGTTTCTGCCTCCGATGGCTGGCTGGCTGCTTGCTGGCTGCTTGCTGGCCACATGCCCCACTAATTATGTTTAATGCTCAAGTTGCAAGAGTCAAAAGTAGGCAATTGGCATCATGGCACATTGGGGGGGGGGCACACAGCTGGTGGAAGTGCGGAAAAGTGGAAAAGTGGAAAAGCGCAACCAGGCGGCAACGTAGACAGGAAAAACAAACGCAAAATGCAAAACCTTCAATTAGAGCTGCTGCTGCGGTTCCAATGCCATCCCATGCCCCGCTGACTTTGAGGTCGGCAATCCTCTAATTGGGAACGAACCTCAATCCCCTCCTCCACCACCAAGCCCAGCACACACAGACGCACACACGGTCATAAGTGTATGTGCAGAAGCTTATACTTATGTACATGCACACATATGTATGTGTGGATAGAGGCAATGTAAATGAGGCACCATCACATAATTAAGAGATTTTCCTCTTAGCCAAATCGACTGACAGGGGCTGACATAAGGATGCCAAAAGTTTGGAAGATTTAACAGTAGAGCAGTGGATATATATTTGTATATATATTATTATATTATATATTTGTATATTATATATTTGTATATTATATATTTGTTTCTTATCCCTATCCTGCAGGTCCCACAAATCATCATGATAACCTTTGATGGTGCTGTCAATCTGAATAACTACGATCACTATACGAAAATCTTTAATGGCAAGCGCAAGAATCCCAATGGCTGCCTCATCCGTGGCACCTTCTTCCTGTCCCACGAATACAGGTGAGTTCTATTCTGTTCTGTTTTGTGTTCTGTTCTTTCAGTTGTGCTGGCTCTGGTTGCAAATTGAAGTTTAATAAGCCAGCTGGGTGGCAGTCAGTGGCACAGCCGAGCTGACACTTGACAATTGATGTGTTGCCCCAGCAATTCTCTGTTGTCTCTCTGTCGCCCGTCGCCCGTCTCCCGTTGCTGTGCTGCTCGTTGCCTTGGGTTGACAGCAATTTTCCAAATGCACATTATTTTGGCATTATAATATTACGCATACGCAAGGGATGCTTCTGCTGCTACTGCAGCGACAAAACGAAATAACGTCTTGCTCTGCAGCTCTCTCAGTCTCTCACTGGAAAGTTCGGGGGCACAGAAAGTCAAGTGTTGTGTGTAGTCGGGTTCTGTTTGGCAGACAAAGTTTTTGTTCAAAATACTTGTCACATACTTGCCAGGCCCCACAACGATACACCCATCCACTCGCATCACCCCCTACTTTCAACCCCATGCGAGTATGTTAGTCAAGTCCTGCCCTGCCCTGCCCTGCCCTGCCCTGCCATGCCTTTGCCCTGCTCTGCTCTACTAATTGTTGTTGATAAATTGGGGCTGACAAAGTTATGTCAACTGCAAAATGAATTTTCGCCAAAATATATGAACTACATTTTGACAGACTTATAAAAACGACAGACACACACACACACACAGGCAACACTCAACAAAGTAAAAGCCCAACAACAAAATGTAGGAAAGGAAAGAAAATGATGAAGGAAAAGCAGCTACAATACAACGCCAGCAGTTGCAGAATGTACGAGTGCGAGTGTGAGTGCGAGTGCGAGTATATAAAGCGGCAGAGAGTCGTGGATAAAGACAGCACGAGTACGTACGTATCTACAGCAGTGTATGGGGTGTGTGTGGGGGGAGTAGGGAGTATCTTTAGCTACTCCCTACTGTAGAGCAGTAGCTGTAGCAAGAGCAGCAGCCAAAGACAGAGGCAGTGGTCGTGGCAGTGCAGTGGAGGCAGTCGGCATGCATTGCCCAAAAATTATGTGAATGCTGCAACAACAGTGGGGAAACGGCCCCAAAAACCGAACACACCAATAATTGCTTGGAAAGCAATTTTAGCAATTGAACTCGTATTTAATTTATTTACTTCATAATCACAGCATACAAAAAACACAGCATTGAATATTCTTGAAATATTCCCTCTCATAAGGTTATAAATTTATTAAAAAAAAAACGAAACAAATAAACATATAGAAGGAGATCTTGAAGACATCTAACACTGTATTGAAGATGTTATTGAGCAGCTTCGGTTTATGAACTCATTTATCATTCCAATTCCGATCCCAATTATTCATTTATGCAATGAAAATTAAATACTACCATGCAATTATCCCATGATCCAACAGATCGATCCATTAGGTAGAGTCAAGCTTAATATTCCATTTAAATATAATTTATTTTTTTATTTATTTATATATTATTTAATATAAATTTTGAAAACAAATGCACACTAATGCAGCTGCTAAAATCAAAACAAATCCAAAATCCTGCCTCGTTCTGCCATGGTGCAGATGTGGGAATAAGCCACATCCATGCCATTGCCATGCCCCAAAGTGTAGCATGGTTGCCCAGGACGGAGCGGTGCGAAGGGAGTGCCAAAACTAAGTGAGCGGCAACAGTCAAAAAATTTGCGAGCCGAGCGTGAACGGCAAAAATCTTGAGTGAAGTTTAAAAGCTTTTTTCTACTTTTGCACCACAACTGGGAGGAGTGACAGACGGGATGGGTGGCAGAATGGCGGTGGGGAGGGTAAGGAACCAGTTTTGAAGTTGAATTGAAATGCGCTGAATGGCAGTAATTGCCTGAATATGTTACACATGCACACACATGAGTGCGCTAATCGGACTGTCACCGTGTTCCCAATATCAATTTCACCTACTCGTCACCTTACTCTTACTTTTGCTTTAGCATTTCATTTACCAACCATACTAGGGGTCGGTTCCTGTACAGCGATCTCCGTGAGGTACAGGCCTTTTTTGTAGATGCTGCGGAGCCTACGATTTCTGCCAAAGAAATCCCCCCTTCGGAGATCTCACATTCGCCAAAATTCATATCGCATGATGGGCCATGCCCTGCCAAGGGTCTCTCAAGGAATGTTTTCCCTGGCTTTATTGTCGTTTCGTTTTCTTGAGAATCCAGCGATGGTGCAAATGAGAACAACAGCTCTCAAGTCTGTGTATGTATATGTTTATATACTTTTGCTTTTTTCGGGCAAATCATTTTTATGCTTCTGCCTCGGAGAAATAGAGAAACGGAGACACACTTTTCATTTTTTTTTTTTTCTTCCACTCGCAGCCAGCCCGCTTTATGCTGCAGCCCCATAAATAGTGGTAAACTTGCAACTTGCCACAGGAACAAGCCGTGAGGGCGGGGGAGGTGAAGCAAAAGCGCAAGACGGGTGGCAAGAAGATGTGGCAAAAGAATCATCTGCCTGCTCTCCAGTGCGGAAATGATTTAATGCGCTCGGCAACTCTTCAGCTTTTAGCTTATTTTGTTAAGATTTTTATTCTCAATTTGTTGTTGGCTTTTGTTGCTGTTGCTGCGATTTTTTCTCTGTCTCTTCTGCTGTTGCTGTTGCCGTTGCCGTTGCTGCTTCTGCTCCTGCCACATTTGCCTGGGGAATGATGATTTCTGATTTGGCATGCAGAGATCCTGTTGCCACTGCCACTGCCACTCGCCCCATCCTTTCTCCGCCAGTTGCCGCAAAGTATGCAGCGAATATTCTCTTTTTTGTTTACGGCCGCTGAGGCAATTAGTTTTGTCAGTTCTCTGCACAAGCAACAAAAAAAGAAACAAAAAAACAAAACAAAAAAAGGATGAGAGACGAGTTGAAGTGCAGCGGCGAAAGAGAAAAATGCATATTCTCTGTCATTCGTGAATGTCGGTGGGTGCTGCGGTTCCTTTTGGCACTCGCACACCCCCCCCCCCACCCCGGACATCATGCAACATGCATCATGCATGCATCATGACCCTTTTTTTTGGGTGTGGTTTTGCGGTCAGCAATTGATTTAATTTGCAACAGGAACAGTAGGGGGGAGACGGGACCATTTAGTTGGGAGTATTCGGCAGCTGGAAAAAAAAACCAAATGTTTCTGTGCCAGCATTAATGGTTCATCCATAATTATGTGGCGCCAGTTTTCCGTAGTTGTATTTACATTTGTGCTTTATTCCTAGTATTATTTGATATTTGATCTGATTGCAAGCGGAGTGTTCTTTAAATTGATGAAATGACGATAAATGCTTGAGAGAGACTTTGGCATAGACTCCACGATCTCGTGGAGGTTTGGTTCTCTTCTCTCTTTATTCAACGGCCGCTTCTAGTCTCTCTCGCTCTCTGTTATTCCTTCTGTTATTGGCTCTGTTAGTTTAACAGTCTCTGCTGCTTTGTGTGGCTTCCCACCAAATCGCACAAATCAAATTGAAATCGGATCCATGGAAAACATGTTAAAATAAATAAAATAAAATAAAATAAAATAAAACATTTGCGATGCAAATGATAAAGAGACACCACACTTCATTAAATTTACAATTTTTACTGCTTACCCTCTGGGTAAACACAAAACCATAAATGTTTCATATCTAAGCCACAATTTCTCCCTTTTGTTTCTCTCACAAATAATAAAAGTATCAGCACCTTGCGTCGAAGATGCATCAGTGATGGATGAAACAATGGTGGGAATGGGGGGCATGGAGGGCATGCCCAAAAAGAAATAATCAACTTGAATGTAGAATATTTATTGCTTGGCCTGGGGATAAGGCCCCATATTTTATTTGCATTCTTTCTATTTACTTCAATTGAATGACGGCCAGACTGACTGTTTTTGGTAGCTGTGTGATTCATTCCCTAATTGCTCGACATCGACGAACTGCAAACACAGAAGAGATTCCACCCCAGCCCCTGCTCCTGCCCCTGCTGGCTGTGGAGGATTCCAAGATGGAGTCGGTTGGTCGGTCGGTCGGTCGGTCGGTCGGTGGCCCAGCTGCTTAGAATATTCATTTCAATTGTCATTGCCAGCACGTTCGCCACGGCAACTGGGAGCAGCTCGCTACGAAAGAGCTGCTAACTGGCGGAAGTTGCTCCTGAATCCTGCAGGGGCTGCATGGGCGTAGGGTGCGAGCTGTTTGCTATTTATACGCCAAAATGTCACTGATAACGAACTTTCCTGCCATTGAATGGTGCCTGCCTTCCTTCTACTGCTCCACCTTCAGCGCTTGGTTCTGCTGCTGCTGCTACTCCTTCTCCTGCTGCTGCTGCTGCTGCTGGTGCTGGTGCTACTGCGGCTAAGAAAACAATCAGACAATTGCCACAGGACTTTGTACACTTTTCTGACTGCAGGCTAACAGGACTTACGCACACACACACACACACACACACAGAGATAGAGAGATATAAAGACACACACACACACACACACACTCTTATGGCTTTGAGACAATGCCAGTTCATTTGTATTTGGCTTTGGCAAACTGCAAAAACCCAAGGAAAAAATTAAGAACAATGTTGAGGGAAAACTTTTTGCGCAGCATTTTAATTGCACGCAAAAACTTTTAACTAACTAACAAGCCGAAAACTAGGCAACACCTCACTGAACACACACACACACACCAAGACACACACACACAGACAGACTAGCACACACACTAATACAAAGCAAAGGCGAACGAAAGAAAGATATTTGATAGCGATAGCTTTAGATACCCTTGAAGATCACTTGAAAAATCTCTCATTTATATTAATTATTTTTATAATATTTTTTGCATTTCGTTTTCATTGTCTGAATGGAATTTTTCTGCTCTGATTGTTCCCATGACAACCCATATGATGTAGTTAATGAATTATAAAATAGGGATCATCTTGACTTTCACAAGGCAAACGAATAGCAAATTGCTGCAAGTTCATAAGACACTTCGCTTTCCACGATTAAGCTGCAAACAAACAAATATTTTCCATGAAAAT